CCCGCCGCGCGGCCGGGCTCTCCTCAGGAGCGACCGTTGAGTCGCAGGGGTTTACCACAGCCGGGCGGCCCCAAAACCGACGGGTTACGGGCTCCCCTCACAACACCTCCCACCCTCAGACAAGAAGGTCCAAGAGTCAATCCCAGCTTCTGGCTCAACCGGGCTTTTATTGCAGTGGTCCAAACATAACAGTTCTGAGCACACAAAAAAAACCACAATCGTTTCAGAAGCCAAAGCATTGCAATCCTCTCAAAAACAGCAGCAGCCTCTTCGTTCCCACCACCTGGGCTCGAACAGCACGGTTGTGCCTCACACGCAGGGAAGTGTGAGCTGGAGCTCCTCGCTCTCAAGCTGGCAACTGGCACCTGAGTTTAATATCATACAACTCAAAAGACCTTAGTGAACATCACAGCTGGAGTCCGTGTTAACACCGACAGCGTTAAATCACTTCCAGCTCCCTGCGTGAAGGTGAGGAGGATATCAAGTCCACGCCATCACTTTTACTAGCAGTTTGTTGATGTCCTCATTTACAGGAAGTTTGTAGACATATATATGTACACAGAAGTATTTTTGAAGTTCATCGTAAACATTAATCTGTAGCTTCTAATTTACTTATAACATTATTACTTTTTAAAGTGTTCAATACGTTATCATAAGCCTTGGTATCTAGATACCTTAACTCATCCAGTAACTTAATAATAGACTGTTTCTCTCCCAGTGTGTTTTTCCAGGTGAGAAGCATCTGATAAGATTGCTCTTCTATATCATTAGGAAAGTCATAAATAATTTTAACAATATCATTTTCCTGCAGGTGAGTTCTCATAAGCCGCTTCCATTTTTTTGGTGGTACTTCATTTATAAAGGCCCAAAAGCTCTCTCTCAGTTCTGAAAGAAAAAACACACAACAAACATCAGCTTAGGTTTTAAAATACAGATTTTTTTTCATAGCTAACGTACATGCTTTCCCATTAATTTTCAGCCAATACATGCACAGGCCAAACAGCAGCAGCAAGGCCAGGTTTGGCACCTAAGAAGCAGCGGGACAAATAGGTTTCCTATTGAGTGATCTTGAAAGAAGCTAAAGGTATCAGTCTACATATCTCAAAAGTAGTCTCTTAAGACGAGACACCATTCAGTAAGTTTTGAGGAAGGTTTCATTGGCCTGCACGTCTTCACTTAAGCTTAATAGGGCTACTCAACAGTAGGCTTTAACCACTTCATTATGCTACTGGTATAGGTTTGCAACGCCAAGACCAGCATGAACAAAACCCGTCACTTGGACATCCAGCACATCAACTTGCTGGGTACAGGTAGATGTATGGGGATTTTGATGTGGTCTTCCATGTGAGGGGACATGTGACACAAAGATCTCCTGCTCTAACCTACTCCTCACTCATTAAGGCAGAGTACACTGCTGCAATGCAGACTTGTTTAAAACATACAAAAAAATTTTGTACCATTCTTATTCTTAAAAGCATGACTGCACTATACTCCTGTGCAGAAAAGCCATCCTTCAAAGTAGAACAATTCACCACAGGGATTACAACTTCTCTCAAATCCAGTAATAATCCTGTTTCAGCATATTTTACAATAAACTGAAAGCCTTATAGCTCTAAGCAATATTCATTAGCCTCCCTACACTATTCCTTAAGTAGACTAAAGTCAACAGGAAAAAAACAAATTCCAAGTACTGCCAATTTATGGAATACTTACCTTTTTGAGAGAGATCTTTAACAATTATTCGACACTTTGGTTCTCGTACCTGTAATTCAAAGTTGGACTGTTACTCCAACATATCAGAGCACTTCACTCACAATTATTCCTGAGCTACTTGATAGCTTGCTTCCACAGCACACATGCCAATAAGGGGGAGGGGGGCAGGTTTCACAGCACAGCTGAAAGTATTTGAGTAAAGACAATTGCATGCTGAACAGTCATGCTACTAGCTCCAAAGTGAGCAACAAGGCAACACATTTGCTGCTATCGCAAAAGAATAGCTTCTGTGTAAATATTGAACAGGGAGATGAGAGAGGCAGAGCAGATTAAATAAGGAACTGAAGTTTGCTTTCCCAAGATATCACTTCCCATACTTTCTATTACATCTTTAAGGCAAAGCCTCCTCTTCCTATCGTTCTGCCTGAAAACAGCATCTATCACTCAAGGAATAGTTAAGAACCCAACTGAAATTACACGTGTATCAGAGAAAACACGATGATAATTTCACACACACACACACTTACCACACGATTTGCTGGCATCCTACCACTTGGTACATTAGATGGGGCATTCTGATGAAAAGCAGGATTCTGCCCAGTTTTTGCTGGTAGTGAAGACTCAGCCATCCTCCTCCAGCACCTTTTCATGTAGCGCCTCCAGCCCCTGCGCAGGATGGTGCCCCACTCAGAAAGCGCAACACTGTTTTCCTCTGGTGATGTGTTTTTTACTTCCAGGTTAATGTTGGTTTGCACTTGGCCCTCTGGGCTCTCACCAGAGTTCTCACCCTCTGGGTTGGCTCCGTTATTTGCAGGTGTCTCCACTTCTGGTGAAATGAGGCTTTCAGTACTGCCCTCAGACTCCTGTAAAGAATAAGAACATATTTTGAGAGATGTTTCATAGGTAGGCCTTCAAGGACAGTCTGGAGGAAGAAAACGGAATACTTGAAGTCACCAGATGTCAGAGAAATAATAGGAAAGCTGCTAATTTGGCAAGGTTACAAACATGGCAAAGTTACAGCCTTTATAGACTTGGACTTCAGATGGTTTCAGAGCCTAAACTCTCTGCTTTGCTGGCTGTTATGCTCCCACTGGACTGCAGGGCAAGGCTCACAGGCTACCTCCACAACAAATGCAGGAAACTCTTCCTAATGTTTTCACTGGCATGTATCACTGCTTGCTCCTCTCTAGGTATGGAAGGTATGCACCCCTCCTGAAGCAGGGGGAAATTAAATTGCCTTGCTGCACCTGAGCTGACTTAACAGCAACAGGAGACTCAAGCCTATCATTGTATCAAGGCTGATGCTCTCAGAGCTTTTGCCAAGCTGATAATAGCCTATCAGCTTCATGGAAGTGCACTAGCTTGGGCTTTTTTCAGCTGGATTAGTTTTTCTGGCAGATTCACAAACTAGAATCAGTTGAGAGAAGCCAGTGAGCACCAGCACACATTGCATAGCTTTTGTGAGGGGACAAAGAGGGAAGCAAGTGAGGAGGGCTGCATCGTTTTCAGCATTGTCAATACATTAAGCATATGCCAGGGAGTATAGCTCCAAATCATCAAGAGCAGTACAAGTACAAAGCAGACCAACATCTATCTAGCATATCAGCTAGTGCTAAAACTGGAAAGCTTTAGCATTTTTTTTTAAAGGTGGAAAATGAGGGCAAGGAGTGACTGTTTTTTCCAATGAGACTTGTGTTTGTTAAGGTACAGTTCCTCCATGAGCATAAGCCAGTGTGATTTCTCTTTGCACAAGGTCAGTGACCCACATGTGACACCACCACGTGACCAATATGTGTAAGCAGGGACGTGAGGGGAACCATCCCATGCATCACACATGTAGTTGCACATCATCATTGAATCCACTTTCTGTTTAAGGGTGTGAACAGGTTAAACAAGTTGATCCTATTTATACAGAATAGTTCTTAAACAGGTAACCAAGTGACTGAAGGTACACAGCATGGCTGACTAATAGCTGCTGCTCTATTTTTGAATGAAATAAAGTATCAGCAGTATTTTTTTTTCTTTTCACAGCAGTATAAATTAACTGGTACTTTGGAAAGGACAGCGTGTTGGTGCCAGAATGCCTGCTCTCAGGACTGCATCAGTGTAACTCTCCCTAGCAAATAAGCTTTTTGTTACAGTAGCAAGAACACTCCAAGTGCGCAGACATTGCGACTCAACTCTGTGACAACTCTTACATCAGAGCTAAGCGTCACCATGCACCGATTTGTGATTGCATTATTCCACTACCATTTTATTCAAAATAAAGATATGTTATATTTCCTTATTCCTATGCTACAGCATTTTGACCAGGTTTTCTGTCATGTTTCTTCATCAGCTTCTACGAATACACGAAGCACTGCAAATCTGGCCAGGGCGTGGCGGTAGACACAACCCAACAAAAACCCATGGGTGATTCACATATTTGAGCCACTTATGTACCTTAAAAAAGAGAAGAGTTTAAAGTGATGTTTTTAACAGATCTTTCAATTCTTTTTCTTCAGTCTTCAAGTATTTGTGACATAATTAAGATGCATTTAATTACTTGAAATGTCTAACTAGTAAGATTAGACAAAAGCTCACGTACCGGGTGAGTAGTGCATGCATTGGGTGGGGGACAAGAAAGGCAGCAGGGAGAAGGTGCTGTACACATGCTATGAGAGGAATCTGAATGCTTTTCTTAGATCCTCATCAAGACAAACATTTGTTTTACAGCTTGGTGTTACACATCAGTAACTATACTAGTGAAGACTGAGCTCATTTTTGCCTCACCAAGCTGTTAGGAGTGTAGCTTCTAAATAGAGAGGCTAAAGCTAGACTAGCTAAATACAAGCCAGTCTTGTATTTACCTTGCAAAATGCTAGACTAACAATAGTCTTTTTATACTGAAACAGTAACATTCTGAAATAGTGTTTGACTACAGGAGGCCAGGGTGAACCTAGCCTTAAAGTGGAACATATGCCAGCAGCCAGCCTTAGCTTGATAAACCCTTTTCAGGGATGTACTTCTGAACTGGTATGCTCTGAGCCCCGAACCCCTTGTCTTATGGGATTGTCTAGGACCAAGAAGTTAGACCACCAGGTCCTGGTCTGTAGCTTGTGACATGAGCCCAAAGACAGGAAGACTCAGTCACTTTGCTGGATCAAGAGAAGTATGTCTTACGAACAAATAAAGTTGTAGTCAGAATGCAAGGAAAGCTAGAACACCACCATGCAGGGACACAATTGCTGACGTTGCCTGGGGAATACATGCATGAAGCAGCAAAGAACTAATTGGATTGAGGCATCACTTGGAGACAGTCTGAAGTGAAAGCTTGCACTTAGCCTAATTTTTTTTTACCCCGCTTTCAAAACATCCTGGCCACAGGCTCTAGAATGTTTCCAAGGGAAGTACTGGAAAGGCCAACTGCAGTGGACACATGCAGCTAATTAATGCATCAGCCCCTTGCTAACATCTGGCCCTGTATGAATCACAACTTGCTGCATCACAGGAACACATCCTACCAGAGGTCTACAGTGAGACAAAGATTGAGAGCTGTGTATCAGGTACAATTAAGCAGTGCACAATTAAGCTGCACAAAACTGAGATGAAACACTTGATCCATTGTATACTTACCAGGCCTTTCTCTGCATCTTTATCAGTTGAAGCAGCTGGAAAACAAGATAAATGTCTAAAATTTTTAGGAATTGCAGCAACTTAAACGTAGCTGAATTCACACAAGATTTATATGCAGTAGACACATTCATAACACTAACCAAAGCTCTAATACAAGCCATTTAGTTTCCTTGACCTGTCATACATTTCATAACTGCCCTTAGCTTCCACCAACAGCACAAACACTGTGCCTTCATACAGGGGATGAAAAGTCCCGCTTAGTAAAATACAGACCACAAGATGCAATTTGGCTTTTAAGCCACTCTTTCAACCTCCCCCCCTCCAGCTTATGCTTCTTAGCATTTTTGTGGGCTACTGCTATACAAAAGATAAGGCAGAAGTTGTCTTTACTGCAATACAATCAGTAAGACGTAATTTGAACAAAGTTAACATTCAAAATTCAGAGTAATTTTAAACATTATTCTAACTAAACTAGTTGCAAAAACACTTAATATGCCGTAGTGGAAAGAAAAGTTTCTCAGGAAAACACCTCCATTTCCACTAAAAAAATAAAATGAACTCACACAGGACTTACTGACCTAACATTCAGGTTAAGAGGCTCAAATGATGAAAGGGCAACAATGTGTAGAAAAAAATCTCCATAGCCAAACAGTGAATGAAAGTAGTTAATGATCTAATTAGTTGCTACTTCTTGCCCCATGCATCTGAGCTCACGCACAGATTTTTCTCACTCTTTGCCAATACAATGAAAGTAGATAGGAAAAGTCCTTTTAAGGACCTCACGCTAATCTTTCTTTGAAGCAAAGGCACCTGTCAGCAAAGTAGGAAAGCTCATAGTTTAAGTTTATGCATTTTATTTACTGAACAAAGCTAGTCTCCATTATACAGGAGTTACTTAATTGAATCACATACTAAATGAGCTACAGCTTAATCAAGTCCCCTATAAAGTAACACAAAAACCAGGGATAGCCTTAGTGCATGCTTTGCCTAGTTCTGGAAAGTTTATGGATAGTAATCAAGCAGTTACCTTTATCACTCTTCAGCTTTCTAATTACAAAGAATAGCAACAATCCACCAACAACAGCCAAAATAATCACAATAATCCAAACAGGAGCTGTGCTTCCTGCAAGGGAAAAGGGAATAAAATTAGTATTGAAGTACTGAAGTAGTCCCCAAACAAGATATTCTGAAGTGCAAGTCCTTCCTGCTGTCCTAGAGAACAACCTAAGCTCAGCACTAGCACAATGACCCAGCCAGCTTGTCCTGGAAAAGGCATTGGGACCGTCAGCTGACCTGAACATGCAAGTACTCGTTTGCACTGTACATCATTGTCCCAAAGGCAGAGGGGGATTCTGTACAGAGCTGCAATACAACTTCTAAAAGGCTTTCTGAAGAGACATTTAAGAAAAGGGGGAAACAAGTATGCAAAAGATAACAGCGAGCTTCAGGTGCTGTAGCATTGGTAGCATCAGTTCCTTCTTTCTCTAGTCTGGCAGAAGCTATCTACCAGCAGAAGAGAAAGCCACTCCATGTGCAACTTCTCAGACACAGAAAACATGAAAAATCTTTGCACAATCCATAACTTTCAACAGTGTCACTGTTGCAACTTTGAAAACCCTGGCAATACATGTAGCTTTTCACAGAGTGAAATTTAAGATGGTTTAGTCACTCCAACCCCTTTGAGAACTTGCCTCTAGAAAGTAATTCCCAGACCAAAATACAGAAGCTCTTAAACATGTTACAGTAGTTCAAACCACTGTTTTACAGACTGCTCTGGTTTTATTAGCCTGAAGCCACAGACCCAACAAACCGAGCTGAGCGGTATTTGTGTACCAGACCTTGATCAGGTAAGCCACATCCTAGGTCCATGGTAGCATTGCAATTCTGCACAATTTCTTTCCCTTCCGGACACCTGAAGTGGATGGCAACACAGGGTTGTATCAACATTTCCAGAGCAATATGCAGCTCTGCGCAGGCCTGATTTTTTTCAGGCAGAGCTTAGAGACATGAACAGAACATGCATAAACAGATAACTTTGTTAGAAGTCCACCTTTAAACAACCCAAGATAATACTCCAAGATTAAATAGAAGCAAAGCAGATAAAGCTCATGTATGTTAGCCTCTGAGCGGCAGGGAAAAAACCCCGCGAAGTAGATGCATTATTCATGCACAGTTTGTTTCCTTCAACAGGTGGTTCTACCTCCTGAAATTTTGGACTGGCTGCTACAAAGCTCATTCAAGTGTGTATGTGGGGAAGTAGTAATCTGAAGACATGAAAAGTGTAAGCTTGCAGCCATAAGCAACAAGCACAACAATACCAAAATCCATATCTTTCTAGGTCTCAACCTCATGTATTTTGACACCCAAAATTTAAATGCATGAATAATGCCATTTGGCTTCAGGGCAATTATTTACAGCCTAGTAACATGTGTTAGGTATTGGCACAGATTGGACCACAGCTCTAACCTTCCCTAGAAGGAAAACAGTCACTTACATTCATTATCAAACTTACATTGTACTGCATCTCAGACATATTTCACAGCCCTCAGCAGGGCAGAAATACCCTTGTTTGCATTGGCATTCAGTATCATGCGTCAGAGTACAGGGTCTCAGAGTTATCTGATCTAAAAATAAAATATAAGTTACAAAGTAAATATGAGTTGTTACTCTCTAACTGTGCAAAATTATACTCAGGCCATAAGGCAATTCATTTATAAGTTCAATATTCTCAATGACTGGAAGTGCAAAAGACCAGAGGACCAGGCTTTCCACATTAGAAAAAGGGGAAAAGGGTTAAGGTCTCATCAAAATTGTACTTGGTACCCTCTTTGCACTGTCTGCATGGCAAGCATTCTTCCAAGCCATTCTCATGAGCGGTATAACCCTCTCCTTCGGTGCAAGGGACGCAGCTTCCTCTTGAATGCGGAGTACTGCAGTGCTGAGCAACATAAGTACCTGTGGAAGAGGAGAACCAGCAGCGGCAGCAGTCTCAAAGGATCATTTAACAGGCAGAGGACTATAACAGGATGTTACAACACACAAAGCCATTTTTGGTGAAAGTTCAACCCCTCCTCACAAGTGAGCAGTGCATCACGTGAACCAAGTGGCGCAGCAGGGTCAGGAGGCACGTTCCCAGCTTGCCGCTCAGACAGGGAGTGGTGGCAAACAAGGCACCCAGCCAGGCCTCTGCTGGGACACACCAGGGATGAGGATGACTCACTGCAGCAGCTCAGTCACCCATGTGGCCAGCGCCATCTCCTCTGAAGGCGCATGGCAGGCACAAGGGAGAATTGCTTGTAACAACCTCTCTTCTCCTTCGTCTGAATTATCTTTAAATACACCCGACAGCCCTCCAATATATCTAAGGACAGGGTGCTCCTTGGCACAAAGCTTGTTAACTCTGCACACATTGAGCAAGGAGGGGAGAGCAAAGGCAAACCAAAGTTTTACCTACAGATACAGAAATATCAGAATTCCCCTATGCTCATTCTTTGTGCTAACTAAAGTTGTTGTTTGTTTTGTTTTTGGTTTTTTTTTTTTTTAAACCCAACACCACCCAACTTTAAATACTTCATCCTCAATAGCGGGCAGAGGTTTCCTGGCTTGCTGCCAACCAACGCCACCCAACTTTAAATACTTCATCCTCAATAGCGGGCAGAGGTTTCCTGGCTTGCTGCCAAGGCACCTCTCCCAGTCATCACGTATTGCGCAAGGGGCTTTCACTTCAAAATGGAGCCCAGCCTTAACAGCACCAAGAAGCCACCACAGCTCCAACCGGGCTGACACTTTCACCGGATGCAATGTAGAAAAAACAATAGTGACGCAGTCATCTCCATGGGGAAAAAAACATGGCCGCTACCAGCTATAACTGCCTGAGGTCTTACCTGCTGGACAAGATACACAGCAGTGACCTTCATGTAAGTATTCTCCCTCCCCGCAGTCCTCTGCTCCAGTTCCAGGCATTATCAGCAGTGTAACCTACAGCAGAGAAAAACAGGTGGTTTGAGTGATTCATCCTCCCAGGACACGATAACCATCTCAGGAAGATGTTCCCGTAGAGACTTGAAAACACATTCAGAAGTTCATGGGAAGCCACAAAGGAAACCCAACCTAATTTCTGCTAAGTGTGCCGCTCACAGCGGTAATTACAATCACAAAGCTGGGGCTAGAGCTGCTGACAGGTTTTAGGCAACTATTGCCCCAGATCCCCGCCTCCATTTTAAACTTCTATTTTCTTTTTACCAATTCACTGCAATTGAACTCCAGAGGCCGAGGTTTCTGCCTTGTGCAAGGGATTCATTTCTCCCTCCTCCTATCTTTTTAATTCAGGACAGTCAGTGTTAGTCTTCCTCCAGCAAAATGGAGGAAACGCCCCAGAGATCCCATCCAACATTTCTCGCTGGCTCTGTAATCTTCATCAGAAGGCAAGTAGTTGAGTCATTAACAAAAATAACTTACTGTAGCCACAGGAGCATTGGGAACTTTTTTTTAAAAAAAAAAAAAAAGAAACCTGCGGGATGCACACCCCTCGGCAAGCCTCCAGCGGAGCGGGGTGCCTGGCGGTGAGGATCAGCTGCCCAGCCTCCCAGCACCGGGAAGCCAGGTGCTTCGCGAGGAGACCAGCGGAGAGCTCAGATGCCGCGGGTTTCGGGCCACCGAGGTACATCCCTCACGTATAACACACACGCGAGAGAAAGTGGTAAAACAGAGGCAGGAGGAGGGGAAGGGACGGCGGCGGAGCTCCCCGTCGCTAATTGCCATCATCGGCCAATTTCTAAGCTGAAACCGAGAGTCCCCGCTCCCGGCTCCCGCAGCTCCACTCTTTCTTCTATCTCCCCGGGGGACTGGAAGTCTTCCCCATAATCGTGTAGTTTAGAAAACCACCAATTTCACAATTAGATAACTTGAAGACTATTAAAGAGCTCGCTCCTGGCTTGTAACTTTCTTTTTCCCGAGGAGAGAAGGAAGGGTGGCAGCGATTGCGCTAGAGAGCCTCGGGAGAGGCGCCACCCGCCGCCACCCCCCTCAGGGGACTCCCCGCAACCCGGGACCGAGTTTAGGGCTAGGTTTACCCCCACGACAGCTGCGCTTCCTTATCCTTAGGTTTAGGAGAGCTGCGTTAACTCAGGATTCCCGAAACTTCAGGCAACACGAAATAACAGCTAAGGGAAGTTACCAAAGTCTCTTGAGGATGAGGAGGGTAGAAAACCCCGCAAGGCTCCTCCGCGCTGGACTTCGAGGAAGGTTTCTTCCTCTCAAAAGGAGGGATTTGGGGGCTGGCTGCGGCCAGGTGCCAGCCTCCACTCGCGGCGAGCACATGGAGGACGAGCCCCTGCCCGCAAACAGCGGCCCCGGCCAGAGATGCCCCCCGGACCCGGCGCGGCGCGGCCCCGGCACTCACCAGCAGCAGCCCCGCGACCCCTCCGGCTCCCATAGCAGC